GACAAAAAACGAGATGAGGGACAGAATAATGATTCACATATGTGAAAGAGACAGACAGACAGACACAAAGGCAGAGAAAATGCAAGATGAGTGCTGTGGTAGGGGTCAAATATGACATACAATAGGGTCACGGTAGTTAGAAGTCAGAAGTCAACTGCCGGTTCATAGACTTTTTCGCTGTGTGAGTATACGTTGGCCAGGGCGCACCACGTACAAGTAAGTCTATCGCACACCCTTGTTAAAAAATATTTATTTTATAATCGCAAAGATAGAAGCAGTTAGCGCTTTAAACTTTGAATATGTTTCTAATTAGTAGCACGTGATTAATAACGTAGATGCGGGATAAAATGAGAAAACCGTTAGATCATCGCGTTTCTATTATATTCCTCCTCTTGTGGATTATTTAATCCACATTATTGGTTGTGTATCGATAACTTTCGATGCGGTGTTCTTCAAATCGGCAAACAAGCAATTTGATATTTAGGGAAGTATTTTTCTTAAGTAGTGGGCTTTTGCTATTATTATTATTATTGCAGATAAAGTGTAGGTAGAAGACGCATTTTAAGGTAAAATTACTTAATTGTTCTCAAGGCGTATGAAACATTTTGTAGTGGTCTAATTACAACATAGTTTTTTTCCCTATTTCTCTTCCAATAAATTATTACTTTGTGCCTGGATGACTGCATATATAGGCGAAATAAAATTTGGACCAACATATTTAGATATGAGAAAGGGCATTCATGAAGGCTTGGTGGCACAACCAACACTTTAGTGAGCAAGTACGATAGTACGGACGCTTACCTTTCAGCCAAATATAAGTCTATAGTAGTTTCAGCATAACGTAGTACTAATTGAAAATAAAATATAAGCTTTGCAATATTTCGTCACATTTGTGATAAATGCCATACGCCTCTCATGTTAAGTGCTCTAGCTACTGTTAACGTAGTTTAACTATTCTTAAAATTAATTTAAAAAGGATGACTCTGAAATAAGTTAGCTATATTGATCTGCACTTAGTCAAACTCCCACGAGGATTGTCAATGTTTAGTGTAGGCATGTTTGTCTAGTATTCGCTATAAGTATTCGATCGATTAAGTAACGTAAACAGTTGCTGACTAATTAAAGACCCCATCTAGTCATTTTGTGACTAAAATCACTTCGTTATTCTTATAGTAAATAGAAAAATACACAAATTATGAACATGTGGGAAAAAATATGAATTTTGTAATTTGACACTACCATGAACAACGTTGGGACTAACTTAAAAGGCGCTATATTTTCCTATCTCTTGGAAATCCCATTCATAGCTCCAAAATTTCGATTAATCTTAAAAAATACATATCTGGCGGAGTGATGGAGAAATGTTATTATGCCATAGATTGACTTATCCTTGCATCGATATTCATGCATTTTATTTGTGTAATTCAAATATATTTTTGCTGAATCGTCCGGGCAGTCAAAGTATTAGTGCTTATAAAATTCCTTTTTGTGCTGAATTTCAGCTTATGAGAGCAATCTTCATCCCCACCGACATACAATGTGACATTACTGTAGCATATTTGAATAAACCCAAGTATAATTTTCATAAGAAAATCGATATTAACCGCCATGCAAATGACTAGAGTTTCTCAAAGTTTCCGTTTAGTTTACACAAATAATTTTTATTGTAAAGGTGCAGAGACACATATTTTATAATCCGTGGACCTAATAGAATCAACTGTCAATTATTAGGGTTTAAATAGCACTGAAATAGCCTAAATGTGCAAGCTATAATGATTTAATTGAAGATTTCACGTGAATTAAGAACGTCAATGGGTGGTTTTTGGCAAAGTTTCTTGATTATGTAGTTTGAATGTCAGTTGAACAAATTATTGATATTCAGACAACGAAATCTGTCATTTTGTACGAAAATTGATTTAATTACTCCATGACTAATATTTAATGTAATTTTATTGTATATAGCACTTAATAAATTTTCAGCTGACCTTCATTTAACAATTGTTTAATCTATTAGAAGTAATCTAGCCCATTTGAAAATATTCCGGTCATGGGGTAGGGGCATTTATTAAGATTAATTCATTTATAGACAGTCGTTTTCTGATTTATATTATTTCGATTACTTATTTATCTGATAAAATTATTGCTCAATTCTTTCATTTTCGATTATACAATATGTACGATTTTGTGTCCTCTAAGTACTATAGTTGTTTCTTTTAATCTTTTTCATTGAGTTTATTTTGTTATTATATTGATGTTTTTAATAGATATTAGAATTATATTTCTTGATTTTATATTTATGGTTTTTTGAAATTCTAAATTTTATTATTTATTAATCTACTTTTTTCTGACCCTCAATTTTAATAGATGTAATATCTTAGCTATTTGCTTTCTCATCTTCTGTCGTGTATATCGGTTATTTCAAATCAATATGCTAATGATTGAGTATATTTTTCAGTCCATTTTTGAATCGGTATCCTAACTGACTTTACTTTTTGTAAAATACTAGTACAATTTAGTAGTAAACATGCTACAACCGCCTTACTATTCTTTTTTTACTTTGATGCTTGTTTTTGGTTATCAACAGTCACTCTTTTTCTCTATAGGGAGCAGCCAGTGTTTACCTGCCAAGCTCATGTTTTTACAATCAATCCTTCTACTCGTCGTTCCTGGGTGCAAGCGAGTTCGAAGGCCATTGATATTAATATTTTCTACGATTTCACTAAACAGTGCTATCGCATTGTTAGCGTTGAGGATGGTCCCACTGGTATCAAGGTTCGTTACACCCCTTTCCCTTGAAAGCAATCTCAATTTATTTTTATTTAATCGCTTTATTAATCAGGCATTATCCCAATTTCAGGTTGTCATTAACAGCACAATTACATCGAAAATGGTGTTCAAACAAACTTCTCAAAAATTTGGCCAATGGGCAGACCCGAAATCATCTGGTGTCTTTGGTCTTGGTTTTGATTCGGAAATGGATCTCAATAAGGTTCCATTCTTTGAATTAGATGCATTAATAACAAATTATGCACTATTTATACTGCAATTTAGATCTTCTTGCTTGGTAAAATATATTGTGAGACATTCTCTTAATAATCCCTTTCCTCTTTGTACCTAAAGTGGAGTATTTAATTCTCTTTCTTCTGATTTTATTTTGCTTCTTTTAATGAGGTGAACTTTTAGGTCTTTTTCTTTCAATATGACGTGATTATATCTATTTAACCACACCTCTGTTGGGGTTTAGTTTACAAGATATTTTTTGACGGATGAACTTGTGATCATGTCCAACATTGAGGGAATAACTAAAGTCACTTTTCAGCAATTTTTCCAATATGTTACAAATCAATTATCGTAAGCTTCTATAAGGATATTTGTTATCCTTAAAGCGTATCCTAAATAATAGTCACATTATAATTAACGTCAAGATTGAAGATTACATTTTGGATGATGTAGTTTTATTAGCTCTCTTCTTCTGTTTTACGTGTGGAGTATTTATTTTGCAGTTGTATTTCACTTTTCTTGAAGTAATTTCCTTGATTTAGAAATAAATGGAACGATCTAGGATATTCGACTTTTGGATAATTTTAGAGCAAAAATTTTCTTAGCGTGTTTTCTGCTAGTTCTTCTCGGAGCTGACGCCTCTTAGAAACTTCGAATATCAATCGAATGCCGGAGCTTCCTTTACTGAAGAGTGAATCTACTGATGAATCTCGGCACATGGCCGGTTACTTGACGACTTTTATCTCCTAATAACTCCAATGTGGTGCTAAGTTAATAGGTTGTACTAATGGTGGCGCCTAGATCTCATTTTGTATTTCTAAATTTTGACTAATGAGGTGTTTGACCAAAATGAGAACTGCCTGTTGGCAATTCGTTATCTTGATCACCTTCAGTGGGTAAAATATTGAAGTAGGCATCCAGGTCCAGGGGAAAAAATCTTTATTTCTCAGCCATGCAGATATTTCTCATTGCCATCCAATTTCAGTGCCAATAACTAATTAACATGTAAATTTATTAGAAAGTAATGAATTGCTAAAGTCTCCTGTCCTCTATTCTTGCAGTTTGTTGCCCAATTCCGGCAATGCGTGGAAGCTACAAAGCAGACAAACGGAGAATCCACTATCCAGGGTGTAGTAAAACAAGTGAGTAGCCCTACTTCATAGGCACCTATTTATTTTTTTATAAATATTTGTACAAAATAAAGCTTTATTTCGTTATTAATTACTGGCAGTCGTCTAGCAGTAAGAAGGCAGAAGGTTTGTAGATGACAATAAAGAGGCTAGTTTATGACGGATGTAAAAGTCATTACATAATATGGTATTGACTACATATAATTTTTATCTGCCTGATTGGCCTACAAGGATACTTTTAAGAAATCATTGCCAGTTCTGATCAGGAAAAAACGATAATGAATTTTGTGCCTAGTGCTTCGATCAAATAAGTAGAATCATCGGTTTCTATTTCTTTTACGATCCAAAAATCCGATATTCCTGCACTTTTCAGGTCGATCAGAGAAGGGGAGGGGTTGAACACACCAAGTCATGCATAAAACCAATTTTATTATGACCTTGAAGTATGCAAATAGGTTAATTATAGAAGTATTTAAGTAAAGGGGCTTACGTGGCCAGTTGGATTTTATGAGATGTCGGTTGAAGCTATCTGAAGTAGGCTACCAAGTTGGCCTTGAATAGACGTATGCAGTGGAGCTGTCAAATTAGTAGGTTTATACTGAATGCAATCTAGAAGTCATAGATAACCCTAGTTTGTGTGGTGTCATTTCCATGAAAATGCAAGATACAAAATACCAGATTTCAGCAAGATTTTCTCTTGTTGAAATACAAAAGCATTTGAATCTCTTATCCAAACTCACATATCATCTGGTATAAGTGTTTGCTAGGTGGCAATATTCCTGTAAAAGAAAGTGCAAAATTGGAAATCATATCTTTGGAATTGGATTGGTCCCTATTTTCTAATTAACTGGGTTTGATTCACTTAACCTCAATTAGATTTCCCCTAATAGAAGACTACACAATCGTATGCAAATGAATAAAATGTCGCAATATACAATCACAATTCATATCCTTTTGGTCGCATTTTAATCCCTTGGTTAGCTATTCCACGGACCCCTGTCGGATTTCTTTTCCTTAAAGAAGGCACTTTGTATTACTTAACAGTGCAATTGTGTAACGTCGCTGGTTTACCTTTATTTAATTACAATTTTCTATTTAGTTGCCTTAGTAACTTTTCTCACATTTTGTGTGTTAGTAAAGTATTATTGTTATATTTTATTTAATTTTTTCATAAAAAATTGCATCGATTTCTCGTTAAGAACTTTCTTCTTTGCTTCAATATCTTTTCTGTAACTTGTAATAATAGTTATCGTTTTAAAACGCGTAAATTCATCCAATCCACTCAATAATAGGTAAAAATTTCTGATCTCGTTCAAGCGTGGCCCGAAACCCCCAATGCACTGTTGTATGCTCTGAAGCAATAGGCCTAACTGCGTACTTTAAGCCGTATTGGATGAATTTATATTTAGAGTAATTTGAAGGTTTTTTTGGTGTTGTTTGTCAAGGAAATAGTGTTCAGTTTTGTGATGGAGTGCAGCATCATTATGTTCGGCGCTTATTTTCTCCTTCAGAATTTGCGTTCACAGCGAGGGCTACTCAGAAAGAACTTCCCATAAAGAGGCTTAAACTTATCGGTAAAATAAAAAAAATTGTCGAAACAAGTGTTCGAGTGCAGAGATTGTGGTGGACCATTCCATGTCCCAGTATGAAACAAAGACCACGAAGAATTGCATAAAATTCTCAATACTATTAGGTTGGCAACTAAGTCATTGCCGATTTCAAATAAGAAGGCAAATTCGGAATTTTTGTTTAAATATATAACTTTATTCAATTAGATATTGGCCGTTCTTGTCGATGACCTTTTTCCATCGTTCTGGCAGAGTAAAAATTCCCCGTTCGTAAAATGTCTGGTCTTTGCTATTAAAAAACTGAATTAGGTGTGATCCGACATCATCCGCGTTGTTACAAATTTTACCATTTAAAGAGTTTTGCATGGAACGAAACAAATGGTAATCCGAAGGCGCAAGGTCAGGGCTATATGGTGGGTGTGACAAAACATCCCAACCCAGTTCCAATAATTTTTGCCGAGTAACCAAAGATGTGTGGGGCCTTGCGTTATCAAATATGTGTGGAAAACAACACCCTTCCGCCGATTTGATAATGCCGGCCGCTTATCTTCAGTTGCATCCTTCAGTTTTTCGAGTTTTTCAACATACACATTTGAATTTATCGTTTGGTTCTGCGGCATGAGTTCAAAATACAAAATTCCTTTGTGATCCCACCAGGCTACTGACAGCATAATCTTTTTTTTGGTGAATCTCTGCTTTTGATACTGATTGGGCTGGTTGATCTTGCTTCACCCATGAACACCCATGCGAGTAACATTGTTATAAACTATCCACTTTTCGTCGCCAGTAACTAGGTTCTTCAGAATGGATCATTCTCATTGCGTTTCAGTAGCGGCGAATCACAGATGCTAATCCGTTGCGCCAAATGAATTTCCTTTAACTGGTGAGGGATCCATAAATCAAGTTTCTTAACATAACCAAGGGTTTTTAATTTTTTTTTTTCAATGCATGTATGCGACACATTGANTGATAATGCCGGCCGCTTATCTTCAGTTGCATCCTTCAGTTTTTCGAGTTTTTCAACATACACATTTGAATTTATCGTTTGGTTCTGCGGCATGAGTTCAAAATACAAAATTCCTTTGTGATCCCACCAGGCTACTGACAGCATAATCTTTTTTTTGGTGAATCTCTGCTTTTGATACTGATTGGGCTGGTTGATCTTGCTTCACCCATGAACACCCATGCGAGTAACATTGTTATAAACTATCCACTTTTCGTCGCCAGTAACTAGGTTCTTCAGAATGGATCATTCTCATTGCGTTTCAGTAGCGGCGAATCACAGATGCTAATCCGTTGCGCCAAATGAATTTCCTTTAACTGGTGAGGGATCCATAAATCAAGTTTCTTAACATAACCAAGGGTTTTTAATTTTTTTTTTTCAATGCATGTATGCGACACATTGAGCTTCTCTGTAATATCTCGTGTTGTGCTGTGGCGATTTGAATGGATAATGGCCTTGATATGGGTTTCATCCACTTCGACTGGGTGGCCAGATCGTTGTGAATTTTTCAGTGAAAAATCACCGCAACGAAATCTTTCAAACCACTTTCGACACTACCTTTCTTTTAAGGCTTCATCTCCATATACGGCACATAACTTCTTTTGTGCTTGCGATGCGTTCTTGCCTTTTCGGAAGTAATACAATAAAATGTGTCGGAAGTGCACGTCCGATTCTTTCATTTTTAAATTGGGATAAAAACAAAACTAAAGAACTAAACAAAAAAAAATTTTTACCAATTAACCTAGAAGCCCATACAGTAAGAAAAAAATATAGGTTAGATGCTCTGGCCACGTTAACAAAACAAAAGAAAGTATAGAGTAAATCTGTCAACAAAAACGGCAATGACTTAGTTGCCCACCCAATATTTTTTTTGAAGTTATGCTTAGTAGTTTTTGATATCACGGGAGGATTTTAAATAGGACCTGGTCTAGTGTGTTCTCTCGTTGCACATTTTCTCTTCTTTAAATAGCGTATTCTTTGTTGTCAATTTACTTGACAGTAAGAATAAGGCACTTCCTCCTGACCGACAAAACTATCAATGCACATATAGTACAGCAATAAGTTAATGTCAGTTGTAAAGTGCAGTTGTCAGATATGCGGCAATTACTCAAACTCTAGAGAGAGTGTGTGAAGAGGGAAGAGGACTAGGAATAAAGTAGACGTAACTGATCCACTTGTAATTTTAAAGCTTTTCAGCTTTGTTGATGTAAATAAGTGCCAATTTATCTACAAGAATTGGGGATACAGGATAGACTTACCACCACGTGGTGCACCCTGGGCAATGTATACTCATACGGCAAAAAAGTATATTGATCGGCAGTTGATTTCTCACTTCAAAGTATCATGACTCCATTGTATGTCATATTTCACCACTTTCACAGTACTCATTTCATCTTTTTATTTACTTTTGTCTCTGTCTCTCTCACATCTATGAATCGCTCTTTTGTTCCACATTTCGACTTTTTCTCACTTTGATGTTCCTCCTCTCTGTGAAGCCCGAGGTTAGCTAAAGGGCTAATGATAACTATCAAAACGCCTACCATTTGTTATAAATAAATAAATAAATACCAAATGGCAAGCTTTAGTTGACTTCGGGCTTCATAGAGGGGGGAGGAACATCAAAGTGAGAAGAATTCGGGAGGGGGGAAAAGAAGAGTGATTCACAGATGGAGGAACATCAAAGTGAGAAGAATTCAGGAGGAGGAATAGCAGTGAATTCTTCACAGAGGGGAGGAGGAACATCAAAGTGAGAAGAATTAAGGAGGGAGAATAGAAGAGTGATTCACAGATGTAAAAGAAACAGACAGACGCAAAAACACAGAAAGAGTAAGATGAGTACTCTGGTAGGGGTCGAATATGACATACA